CGCACGCACGCACGCACGCACGCACGCAGGCACGCACGCACGCACGCACGCACGCACGCAGGCACGCACGCACGCACGCACGCACGCACGCACGCACGCACGCACGCACGCACGCACGCAGGAATGCACACGCACACGGATAAATGCAGCCAAGAGGATTTTAACGAACGTCCGCCTGCTAGAACCACCTAATCATCATTGCATTCGTGTGGATAATAAAGGCATTCCCCCCACACACAAAAATTTCAAAGAATGCGACAAATTATTTTCCAGGCAGCGGCTCTATAATCTTCCGTGCTTTTTCTCTGCTAGTATTTCCCCAGCTAATTCCTCACAAAACGAGAATCATGCAACATATGCCGTCAGCTCGTTCAAAGAGCAACCCTGCCCAAACCATGCATTAATCAGTAAGGATCTGTGCCAACGTGTGTTGCAAAATTGCACTGTGCGAGCTAGCCCCCAATCAATCTTTAATAATCTACTTCCAAGTCCACACATCATACGCATGAAATCTGGCCCCGTGCCATCAAATCCCATAACCTTCTTTGGCAGTAGAGCAGAAGTGAAAGTAATTATTGGTATTATATTAACCCCCCCCCCACCCCCGTGTGAATAAATGGCCACATTATAATACTTATGACACTTACTACTCAAACACCATGTAGAGCATTCCATCTGAACTATACGTTTCCAGAAGCTCAACGACGTGTGGGTGCTTGAGCATATGACAAATACTGGCTTCCCTCTTCAAATCTGTCAAAAACAACAAAGTAACCGCAAGGATCGTGTTAGTGCTATATTACACATATTGTTGCTATACAACAATGAATGTTAAGAGTAGTTACATTTTATCAGGAGTGAACAATAATCGATCTATTATCTATAACAATATCTCAAATAATCTATTATTATTCACTCCTGATGTTATGATAAACCTAACTAGGTTGAACTGTTGGCAACAGTTTTGACAACCGATTCAGTTGTCTTTGTCTATAAATGAATGTGCAGTAAAAAATATCTCCTACACTGAATGTTTAATGCAGTTTATCTTGCCACACGGTTGTTAATTAGCCCACCACAATGCACCACATAGCACACACCTTATGTCTGTTGTATTCATTTACACTCTTGTAAATGTATATTAAATTATATGAGAAGTAGTCCCGTTGTGAAAAGCCTTTTTTTGGGTGAACGTGGTTAGGTTAGAAGACGTCCTCAGAGCCAGGATAATATTTAACACTACCCAGGTAATATTCGTTCTCAGAGTAGCATGTAATCAAGAGCGTATTAAGAAGCTTCGTTATACGCTCTTGATGTAATTAAACATACGATACATATATTGATATGTGCTGTAGTATGACCGGTTACAGAGAATGTGTCATATCATTAAGAAATAATCGGTTCATGTGCATGTATGTGGATGTTGAAAGAGCAGATATGAAGATGCTGCCTTGGATGTGTAGGGTGAAGTGTAGGAAGATCGTGTCTCGAATGATGAAATTCTGGGAAGGGTTGGTTTGGAGAAACTGGTGTAATCGGCTGAGATGCTTTGGGCATGTGGAACGAAGGGAACCAGAATGCTTATTACGGAGTGTGGAGAAAGGGGGGAATGATGACATCAGGCCAAAGGGACGCCGGGCCCCTGGATGCAGGATGACGTGGCTAAGTAGAACAAAAGGCAGAACAAAGGGCAGTAGAACAAGATCTGGTAGCAGCAGGACTCGATCGAGAGAGAGATGTCTCGGAGTAGAGATGAATGGCATCGTGGAATAAAACTGTCCAACCCCGAAAGGGAAAACGGACATTAAACTGATGAAGATGATGATGATGATAATGATGATGATGATGATGATGATGATGATGATGATGATGTAACTGCTGCTACTGCTGGTGACGATGATGATGATGATAATGATGATGATGATGATGATGATGATGATGATGATGATGATGATGATGATGATGATGATGATGTACATGCATGTAAATGCTGCGATTATCTCCAACTAAACTACGTACGATTACACAACATGATAAGTGAAGGAGCGGATGCACAGAGGAAGTAACGTGATTTCTCCAGAAAGTGCATCGTCATGATTAGACGAAAACTCGACAAGATTTCAAATTCATTTAAACAATCGTATCGCAAAAACTAAAAACACAGGTAAGCACGGTAAAGGTAGGTGGAACTAAGTAGACATTGATTTTATGCAATTAAGAATTTCAAAACCAACCAGTTTTAGATTATTGCATCATATAGACAAGCGCTCACCCTAACACGAAGGCGATTTTGAAAACCACCTTGAAACTATTTTGTCATACGCTCCTGTAGATGGCGCTGACAACTCGAAAGCACCGACAGACGCGTACATGTTCGCTAACACTACCACCGACCAATATCGCAGTGTCTTTTCAGCTCGCTACCATACACTAGCTATTGATGAGAAGCCCATTAGTGTCACAAGGATCCAGCCAGCCGCCACACAGAGGCAGGGAATATTTGTATCATTATCAGCACACAGCTGTGTGTACACACGCGTCCGCCACAACCACTCAAACGCACGCATGATGAATTAGAACTAGAGCTCGATCCAACAGATCGACATTACTGTGGAGAGGTATTGATAATCACTTCTATTACGCACGCGCCGCTATAACGAACGTTATAATTTTATCAACGGCATAATTACCTAACGCGGCCGAATTTCACCTGTGACACCTTGATATTTTATACAAGAATAAACTACATTCTAATAATATCATTGCACAAGGTTCTGCCCAGGATTTTTTAGTGCCGGGTGCATCCAGTTGTAGGATCCAGTTGCCGTAGGCGCGAAGCCAATCTAGGGGGGTCCAGGGGCATACCCCCCTGAAAATTTTTAATAGTCTGAAACTCAATTTCCTGCATTCTGAGCAATAAAAAACCCATATATCACTTTTTTTTCTTTTTTTTATATTAAAAATTAGTGCCGGGCGGAGATATATAATGCCGGGCGGCAACTGCGAGTGCCGGGCACACCCGCCCGCCGCCGCCCACCGTGGGCAGAACCCTGATTGCACACACATGATGGCACATCCTCAAATTGTAAAATTTTGTAAATAATTGTCATGTAGTGACATTCTTATAACTACTAGAATTATATGTAGTCAACAAACAACACAGCAACACTGATAAGCGTAGACAAATCACGACATAATAACCCCCAAAGCAATGACTCGTTGAAAAGAAATGCTGACGGTATTTTAATGACATAATTTAATGCATTCAACTTTATTCAATCAAATTTTTTCATCAATTTAATAATTCAAAACAAAAAAGGTAATTAATTAGTCGGTACTCTTTCTCTGCACGTAATATTACTAATCATACCCCCCTAGACAAGATTGGCCTATAAATCTTCGTTAAAGCAGACTAAGAAGCCCATAAACGCTAATCTGCTTCACAGACCGATACCTCTTCGTTTGCGTATACACCAATCTGCCGTAGCTTTGTTACCAGCATTCTACTATCTATCAGTGGCCGCAAAAAGGCAAGCCGCCAATGAGATTAGACGGAAGGAATATGATTTATTCATCATCATGTATTATAATATTCCTCTATACGTAACAGCATCGCCTGACAGACAAAACAGCCAAACATACCAGCACGCACGCACGCACGCACGCACGCACGCACGCACGCACACACGTCCACACAACACAATTATGTTAGTTTTACAGTCAGTCTCTGTATAATGATGCATAAAGTCTGCATTCACCGCAGTACGGACGGGCTGCGAGTGATGACTATCTATGTATAATAGATACTGAACTGGCACTTCAATTTATTCCCATTCATTCGAGATGACTAAATTAATAATAAAATGATAAATCGATATGTATTGTTACTCGTTCCCACACGGGTTCTCACAAATGGGACAAATTTCAACAAACCGAATCCGAGAATCCGACTGTAGAATGAAACTACAGCTGCGAGAGTAGAAAGAAAGATCGAGAGAGAGAGAGAGAGAGAGAGCAAGAAAGGGAGAGAGAGCGAGCTAGAAAAGAGAGAGAGAGGAGGGGAGAGAGAGAGAAAGAAGAGAGAGAGAGAGAGAGAGAGAGAGAGAGAGAGAGAGAGAGAGAGAGAGAGAGAGAGAGAGAGAGAGAGAGAAAGAAGCAAGCTAGAAAAGAAAGGGCGAGGGCCGAGAGCAAGGAAAGGGAGAAGAGAGCGAGCTACGAAAAGAGAGAAGAGAGAGGGGTAGAGAGAGAGAGAAAAAGAGGAAGAGAGAGAGAGAGAGAGAGAGAGAAAGAGCGNAGAGAGAGAGAGAGAGCGAGAGAGCGGGAAAGAGCGTGAAAGAGAGAGAGAGCGCGAGAAAGAGAGGAAGAGAGAGAGAAATAAAGAGAGAGAGAGCGAGCGAGGTAGCGATTATGCTATCTAATATGCTATGTCAGATATCGCTATTATGCTATCTAGTATGCTATGTCAGATATCGCTATTATGCTATCTAGTATGCTATGCCAGATATCGCAATTATGATATCTAGTTTGCTATGTCAGATATCGCTATTATGCTATCTAGTATGCTATGCCAGATATCGCAATTATGATATCTAGTTTGCTATGTCAGATATCGCTATTATGCTATCTAGTATGCTATGCCAGATATCGCAATTATGATATCTAGTTTGCTATGTCAAATCTCGCTATGTTGAGAAAACGTGTGTGCTTGTGATGCTTCGCTGAAACTAGGACGTGCTATACACATCCACCCACCGCAACTATACGGAGAAAGTCAATTTGTTTCAAGAGCATTCTCGTAAAATTTACACAGAGTGCAGCCGAAATTGCAAGCCAGCACCAGTACAGGCAGCACTGTGTGTCCTAACGCAATATATATATATATATATATATATATATATATACTATAGTATATATATGGCAGGAGCTTAATAAAAGACAAATTATATAGATAATATATATCAAAGCAGTTCCATATAGAAAAATTGATTGCGATTACTGATTTATTATTGTTATATGCGGATAATTTTCCATGTGATGGACTCTTTCGATAATATAGTATAGTATATATATATATATATAATAATATATATATTTATTATATGACATTTCCACCAAACTAATACCCAGTCCTCGGCTGTGATCAGGCGAGGCAACTAGAGGTTGCGGTTGTAGAGAATTTGATGGTATTTTAATGTGACGATGAGATTTTCGCGTTAAATGTTAAAAACGAATGTTTATAAGAATACGGTAAGAGTAAATAGAGAAGGGTGTTGGTAGATTTAATCAGCGCAGCTTTCGAAACGCTACATCTCGTTGCCTCTAGGCTTTCAGTTTGCAATCGGTATATCATTATATGCTCAATATACTGATATAACATATACATGTATTACATATACATTACAGTAATAGATATACATGATAATGATATTGTATATCAGTATACATGATACATGCATATGTATTTCATATATACAATATGAATTGGGGCGTTCTGCATCCTTTACTTATAGGACATCACCATAACATGTCTTACTTTATGTTCGTGAGTTATATCGCGTTTCCCAATACGAGTTCTCACTAGCACTCAACATTAGGAGGTAAAGAGTTCTGGTTTACGCCTGAAGACAACATGAATTACGAATTTGGAGGAAATCCGACAACGAGACGATCAAAGTGCCCTTGAATTCCATGATACTATGGTTGAAGCAGAGATATCTGATATCAGCTGCACAAGAAGGGAAGTTGTTATGCGGAATTATTGTATCACCGAGTCATAAACTATAAAACACAACAAAAACTCGGTTTATATCTATCTCGTCCATTTCTTTCTTTGCGTTCTAATTTCTTCTATTTGCTCTCTCATCCATGCTTTCTAACCTCGGTGTCTCCTCATCACGCTGTTTCGTTCAGGTCTTCACACTCGCAATTCCCATCTTTCTACGTACATCGGATTTCATTCGCACGCGCGAGCAACTAAGCAAAAAATGATAAAGCCATTTCGTCGACAGATGACGTCGGTGTGTGTGTGCCTGTCCGCTACTCCCTGCTTCACGCATGACTTGGCTACTACTCTCGGATATAAAACACTGCCCGTCTTGCCTCAAGTTGCCTGCCTCCCTCCCCGCATCGACTGATGGATATGTAAGCAACTGCGTCTCGCGTCTACCCTCGCGGGATTGCATGAAGATGGGAATCTGCCATTATCTACTTAACTTATCGGAGGGCCTGCCGTTAAAAACCTTTCGGATGTCGGCGCATGAAGCACAAGGGGTTACATGTCTTGCAACGTGTCGTCGCTCTAGGGACGGGAGCAGTGTGCGTGCAGCCCTAGAAAGAACTGCCTAGCACAGACTCGGTTAGGGGGAGGGGGCAGTGTGTGTGCAGTCCTAGAAAGAGTACCTAGAACATACTCGGTTAGGGGGAGGGGCAGTGTGCGTGCAGCCCTAGAAAGAGTACCTAGAACATGGGGGGAGTTAGGGGGACGGGCGGCGTGCGGGCAGTCATAGAAAGAGCACCTAGAACATACTCGGATAGGGCGATCAAGGCTGAGAGGCGACCAGCGGCGGGCGCTACGTGTACACATGCTCTTAGAAGAGCAGTGGGGGTAGGGCAGCGGGGGAAGGGCAGCGGGGTTAGGGCCAGCGGAAGAGGGGCAGGTGTGGGGGAGAGGCAGGCGGGGGGG